ATGGATGGATGGATGGATGGATGGATGGATGGATGGATGGATGGATGGATGGATGGATGGATGGATGGTCAGTCTCTTTCTCCTCCTGCTTGGGATGGCAGGGAATTTACTGTTCTATTTTTTAATTACACTATAGCAATTCTCTTTAGTATATTTGTTTTAAAATAATCCCATAAACTCAATAGAAACTACATCTCTATAAACATGCATAAAGTGGCCGTGAAGACTAATTGACCACACACTTGTTTCCACTGCAGATGTTTGAGGTCAAATATTTTAATGCTTGTTGGTATCTTAATCCTTAAAATTCCCTTGCAGAAGTTAAATATCTACCCCCTTCTAAGGCTGTTTTGTGTCTGTATCATCAGCCACTAACAGGATTCCCTTAGCATAGGAGGAAATACTGGATGTTTTAGAAATGACATACTTGGTTTACATTGCATTCTGTCAACACAGTTAATGCGGCTACAGGACAGAAGAACATGGCCAGGATAATATTGCATTCTGGCAATCTGTGTCTATGAGGAATGCAATCTCTATGTCATCTGGTAAGGCTTCTCTGTTTTGTGCAAAGTTCTAAATGGCACCTCTTTATTTATTTAAGGACTTTAGGTCAAAACCAACACCATACTTGTGCCAAGAAAGGACTTGGAAGCAAGTGCAAATATTGGTAACACGCTCTTGGAAATTCAACCAAGAGGCAAATTACCAGCTTGTGCACTTAGCAAAGAGCCAAGCAGTCAACAAGAATATCTCCTCCCAGAGCACATTTCAGTAATCTAACTTGAATCATATCCACCAAATCCAGCTTTTAGAAAGGGACACAAAAGCTTGTGAAACAGAGAAGCGTGTGTGTTGTTAAAAGAGTATTTACATTTTTAAAAGAACAGCACGTCCAATTAAAATGTTACTGTCTGAATGAAGAAAACGACAAACCAATTTCATATGCTGATGTGCGGTTCATTAAAATTATAAAATTAATAAAAGGTCGCTCTATGCCGTGATAAAGTGATAAACTGATTTGGAGGTAAATCCTGTGAATTGATTCTAGTTTAAAATGTGTCATATTATAATGTAAAATAAGTAGACTTGTGCTCAAGTTGAAATAACTGGACATTTCTTTAACACCTTTTTAGGGTCCTATTCAACACCATATAATTTGATTAAATGTAAATATATTTTCCTGGATTCTGAACTTGACATGCATCCAAAATATTTTAATGACAATTAGGAATGTTTTCCTGCTTCAGCTTGTGTACCTTGCTGATGTTTGCAAGTCATGCTAGCACTATTTCAAATGTCATCACGCTGCCTTCCAGCTCATTTGGGAGAAGTGACTCTACAAGGCCAGCTGCCAGGAAATCTTTGGCCAAATACATAGGTGAACACATTCTTCTTTCCAATTCCTAGCTAGAAAACAACCGGTGGCAACTCCTATTTCCTGATGTCAGCAACCACGTATATTCAAGCAAGGAGGACCATCAGCTGAGCTGATCGTAAGAAAAACACAATCAATGATGATGGTCATTTGCCAGAACTAGCAGCCATTACAAGGTATCTCCATAATAGATATTAAGCTATTGCATCAGTTACCACCTCCTATATTGTTTAATGAAGAAAGGTTCTCTGCAATAGGTGGGGTGTGATGCTCATGGGGACAGGAGAGGGAAATCTATCACCAGCAACCAAATCCTATTCCTGGATGGAGAATCTAGCTAGGGTGAGTTGAGGTTCAGAAGTGCCTCCTCTTATCAAATGCTGGAGTTTGGCAGGAGCTCCCTGTTTGTTTGTTTGTTTTTTCAGAATGCTGGTTTTACATTCATCTAGGTTGATTCCTAATGCTGAATTTCCATATCTGAAAACTAGATATGGATGTAAGGTTCTTCATGGGATTATTTAATCTTACCGAATGATGTGCCCATCACTACATCTTTGTATGCCATCTTTAGGATGACCCAAAATGTGATCACCACTTCTACTTGATTTGAATGGCACAAGAGTTTCATAGTGGACATCAATATTGACTCTTTTCTTTCATTTGAAGGAAAACATTACCTTAGATTCTTAATAGAAAGCATGAGCCTTTGTTTGAGACAGCAGTTATTCCTTTCACCCACCTTATTGCCTATCATAATCTGTTCCTCGCAGTAAAGGTAAAGGCATTCTCAAGTTAAACCGAACTTCTAGGATTATATGAGTAGAAAACTCAGCCCATGCCCTTTTCTTGACAACATTATGGAACTGGTTTATTATTTCTTTATTCCAAGATGTGTTCTCAACTTTCCAGTCTAATCTACAGTCCTGAAATTCTCAAAGGATCTCACATCCAAGGTCATTTCCCTACCAAAGACTTATAACATCTTCATTCCAGTTATTGCTGCACTGAAATGATAAGATGTCTGTCCTTACTACTTTTATTCTGGCACAACAATAATTGGATTATTCTAGAAAACCCCGGGGTGCTACTGGGGGGAAAAGTATTAACCAGGGCCAAGTCATTTTAGCATCCAAACTGAGATGAGATTGACCAGGTGCTGCTACATACTGAGATGCCTCTCCGAAATACAGTAAGGATATGCTATTCTGCATATACAGGAAAGAGAGAGAGAGAGAAGGAGGGAGGGGGAGAAGATATGCATGACTTATTATGAATTGATTTCATATTTTGCATTGACTCTGGTGTGAAGTTAATTTGATCAGTTCTGCCTCGTTTGTTTACGACTGGTGTGAGGTAGATACCCATACCCTGGACCAGCCTCCCCTCTCTCTCCCAAGTTGGCAAAATGAACATGTTCTATGCACTATTGTATGCATTCCTGTTAATTTCATTTCTACAAGGCTATTTTGTTTTATTCTTAATTTGTATTGCTGCTATAACTCATTGGCTTTAAAACTAATATTCCAGATAGATGAATAAGGAAATGAAAGAAAAGAAAGTATTTAGTGTTGAGTTTATTGTGCATATACATATCTACACATCACACATATACACATTTTAAAATCAGAACAGATTTTGAAATAGATAAACTAACATTGGTATAATTTATTAGCATTAGTATATTACAATAATGTTAATTCATGATTTCATAATTTGCTATGATTTGGGTGGAACAAAAAGAATCACATTAGTTTATTAGAAAAGAAAAAAGAAAAATAACCTAAATGTCATGAAATGTCATTTCAACAAGAAAGGAAGGGTAAGAAGCAGAGGATAAGAGCAAAACGTAGTAGAAACTTCCAAAGTTAGGTTCCTTCTGGGTCCCCTTTACTAAATTAGCATCTTAAATTCTTCTGCCAGCCAAGGACCAGTTAATCATCAGTTCACTAAGCACAGATCCACAAAGTAAGCTTCACATTGTACAAACCAAGATTATGTGGTTACCTTATGGTACACAGTGTACAGAACCACAGCACCCCTTTATTAGGGGAATAAAGTCAATCTATTAGCTGACCAGAACTAGGAAGGGATCCACGCTGTACAACTGGGGGTGGGGAGAGGGTTCCACCGCCTTCAATCCCTTTCCAACGTCCATGCATTTTCAATCTGAATCTATCAATGCATCCAGAAAACTCTTCCTAGTATGGAACGAAGAAGAGTCGACCTCCATCGTTCGGCCTCTATCTACTCATTCACCCCAGGCTCTCTCACTGCATTTCCAGATTTTGCATCTTTCTCAGGTGTTCGTGAATTGGAGGACTAGGGATGCAACCAATCGATCCTCGGCGAAGCCTCCAAAAGACGTTGCCGCCGCTGTTCGTCTACAGGGAAGGACGAGAAATTCAGTACCGCCCGGCCAGTTCCCCACTCACAACAGCCCAAAGCAGCGCGGCACGAGTGTCCGCGGCGCACTAGGACGTTCGGGGCGCGCGCGCACGCGGCTTCCCCATTGGTCCCGCGGGCTGGCCCGTCTCCGCCTCCGCTTGACGCCGGCCCTGCCGTTTAAATGCCTCCCGACGGGCGCCCGCCGCGCCTTTGGGTCCTGAGCTGGTGGGCTGTTGCGGCGGGCGCGTCGAAGGAGGGAGAGCAAAGCACGCGACTTCACCTCTTCCTAGTGGCCGGGGGGCTCGGCTGCTTCCCAGGCAGCCCCATGAAGAAGCCGCCCCTTGGCTTGGCCTCCTAGCCCGCTTTGCGGCGCCAGCCCCAGCCGCCTTTCGCCATGAGCTGTCTGGATGTTATGTACCAAGTCTACGGTCCTCCCCAGCCTTACTTCGCAGCAGCCTACAGTCCTTATCACCAGGTAGGTAGCTGGACGGGCGCGTCCCTCCAAAGGGCAAGGTTGCGTGGGGGAGACTGGCCTGATACTGGTTCTGTTCATCTCAGGGTTTATTCGCGCTGTCGGTCAATAACTTCCTCTTTCCCGGAACGGATGAGTGCGGGGTGGGTGGGATAGTACAGTAGTCACCCCTATTAAAATGCTCAGACTACAATGGGGCTGGTGGTCTTGGCGAAGGATTTCGTTTCTTCCAGTTCTTTGTGTGGAATCCTTTGCGTAGGGCGCGCTGATTCCTCCTGCGGACAACTCCGAGGGCAAATCCTAAGCGGACAGTTGGAAAGGCCTGCCAAATCGCTGGTGTAAACCTTCTGGACGCCCGCGGGATCCAAGCCGCCACGATTGGTAGCGGCGGAATGGAAGATTCTTCCTTGCAACTATCGGTTAGCTTAGCTTTCAACTTAGAAAGGTGTGTTCAGAGCGCTCGCTCGGATAGCGAAAGCAGTTAAGTAAACCGGAGCCCGGCGCCATCCGAAATTCATCTACGTCAATTATGATTTAAGCAATTGTGGCATTTGTCCGCAAAAGCTTTTGCCACAGAAAACATTTACGTCCCCCTCGTTATTTTAAGATAATGACTTTATACCTAGCGATATACATAGAAGAAGGCGACGGTATAATATCGGGTGTAGCGAGATCTCACCTGCCTGTAAATCTCTGACCTCGAGATATTCTGCATACGTGTTAGAAATTTTTCGTGGGTTTCTAAAATCTAGCTAACCTGCTTTGCAGATTTTTGATACCTCCGCCCTCGGCATTGCTCTTCATACTGCGTAACCCTTTGTGAGAAAGAGTCGATACGAAATGGAACTGGTTCTTTCGTTTTTATTTAGAACCGCGGTTTCTGGTCATGCAGACGTTCCTATACTGTGCATTCGTGATAGGATATGACTGACTATTAAATCGCTAGCTGGATATCCTTTAGGATCTTTTGTTAAAAACAAGGAAACTCCTGTTTTTAATCGCTTGAACAACCTTTAATCCATGTGATTAGAACAAGATTGTGCACCTAATATACCTCTTTAGATAGATGTGTTTTATCGAATTCGTCCCGAGCAGGCCTAATATTGTTATCGTTGTTGTTTACAGTGACAGAAAAATACTGTTTAATTCTAAACCTGTTAGGATAAAAGAGGATTAAAAGAGGATTCAGAAGAAAATCGCACCTGTTTCGTTTCGTTTCCTCTCCTTTTGTTCAGAAATGATTAAGGAATGGGGCTGTTTGGGCTGCCTTCTTAGCAGTCTGAAGTCGCAGATATGAAGTGCCTAATTTATGCTTCCCAAGAAATCGTTAAAAATACATTTGGTTTAAATCTTCAGGAAATAAATCCATTTTCTCCATAAAATGAAGTATTGTGAAGGCAGTGTATTCATTTGCTTGTTCCTTCTCCCCTCCACAATAAATTTCTCCCCGCTGCCTTACTTTATTCAAATAGCAACAAAATTACCCATTGCCATTATTCTATATTGAAGAATACTTACTTGTAAACTCAGAACAAAGGGTCTTCACCGAGAAGATGCTCCATTTTCATTACCTGCTACCTTGTGGAATTCCAGCGGATTTTGCATTGGAATATTGTCAGTGGGTGTTTTGAAAACCAGAATGTTTTAGAATTCTGGGGCTCAGACATTATGACATTAAGGGCTGTGACCTGCAGTGGATTTTCAGAGTAAAAGAAGTAGATATGTGCCTGAGATAATCTGAACATCGGAATGGATGGATTCTGGGAGGGAAAGTTCTTAAGACTGAACAATTTATCAGCTTGTAATAATGTGCTTTCCCCTTTTCTGGGTAGCAGTGGATCAAATGACCTTTCTACATTTTTTTCTTATCAGAATCCCCGGATCAGGGCCAGTGCTCCAACATGTTACAGTTCCCAAAGGAAGACCGCCTGCAACATGTTGGGATAGGGAGGGCATCAGAATGTACTGGCCACCACAGTTAGTAGCCATTGGTAATAGCTTTCTCAGTGACTGGGAATCCTTCCAGTTGCCCTCTCACTTGACTTTCGGGAGAAAATCATTGTTGACGCAGAGATTGGTCCAGCCTTGTTTGTTCGCTGACAAAGTCCCATTTGAAAGCGTTTCTCCGATTATGTTTTCCAGGCACTTAACATTGCATCCGAATCCAAATTATTTGCTTCGGCCGTTCCCAAAAGTAGCAGCTGTAAGCAGCTTAACCGCGGGAAAGCCAATGCGGAAAATGTTTAGCCGACTTTCGAGAACCTGGTAAATATAACCTGTTCCTTTCCGAAATATCTTTTCCCCTCTATTCGCCACATATTTTTTTTGAGGAGCAATTTCTCCTCCCCCCGCAAAAAAAAAATCTATTTTGAAACGAACAAGTCTCTTGTCTCTTTCACCAACAAGGGTTTTTCTGCTTGGGCTAAATATGGGAAGAGTCCCGTGACTTTAGGACGTCCACCTCGTGAAACGCCCCTCTCAAAATGCTCGTGATTCATAATGCCTAATTTTTCCCAAAAGAGAAATTAAACTAGGACCCTGCAGGCATTTGTTCTGAAGAGAGGGCAGCCTTCCGCCCAAGAGAGAGCAGTCAACTGGAACTCTGCTCCGTGGTCCTTGAGAATCTGTACATTCGGGACAGAAGTCAAGGCTCTTCGAAATCTATTCTTGGTCGCTCATTGCGGTAGAATTGGATCTAATGAATCCTGTAAAAGTCGACAATCACAGTCTTTCTCGGAGGTCCAGGGTTACCCCGGTTTCCAGAGGGTGAAACTTGTTAGATCCCAGCAGGGGGGGAAACAGTCTTGTGGCTCTCTGAAGCCGAAGGCACAAAGTATGACTTAAATCGCCACCAGGTTCAACGATCCGTTTCAGAGTAGTTTTCCCTTACTTATACTATTCAATGTGCGGTTTTCTTGGATGCCCCTATGCTTTTCGTGTATTCTGGGCGTTTGATCTGCTAACTCTGTCAACGAGAAAATAAACTTGATTTAGAGTGGGAAATTCTTCGCTGCCTTTGGTCGTTTGGAATCGTTAGGCAGTGATATATGGTGGTCGCCTTCCTTCTCCAGATGCGTTAAGTGGATGGCCTTTTAGACCGAGCTTTCCCAGTCCAGTTTCCCTTGTCCGTGCAGCTCCGCGCAGCCTTCTCGGCTCCGGCCGGCTCCGGCAAACAGCCCTCCGGCCCGTTCGAGGCTCCGACGTTTTTGAAAGGTTCCGCTGGCACCTGCCAGCCCGAAAAAGGAGGGCAGGCCGCGCGCGCTGACCGAAGATACAGGAGCACGTTGGATTTTCCTTTCTCCGAAATTTCCACAGCGAAGGCGGAGGGAGAAACTCTCCCCGGGGAAATGAACAGGGTGGGCAGAAACTCCCCCGCGGCCAATGGATCCGAAGCCGAGCAGCCGAAGCTGCAGGCCCCTTCCATCCGGGCTTCGGAAAAGGCAGCGGGCGCGTCCTGGCCAGCTTTGAAACCCTTGAGAGGCGAGCGTTAGGCTAATATCCGTCCCAAATTGCCTCCGTCGAAGGAGACTTTCAAGGCAAAGACGTCGCCAACGAAGCCGCCACCTTGTAAACCGACCGACGGTTTATGGCGGTCTCTTTCTCTCTCTAGCCCTTTGCTTTCTAAATGGGCTAGACTACCACTCCCATAAGCCACGCTCCGCGCGGGGAGGAGTCACTGGAATTAAGTTAAGGACGCCCAAGCAGCTCCTGCTTCGCGCCTCAGAATCCCAGGCTCTCTCCTATTTTTCTCTAGGCGTGACTGGCGTCCCTGCCTGGCGTGGGACTCGTGGCAGCGGGAAGCCCCGCGCGCCTTTCTGACAACTCCTTTCCTCGAAGGCGGCGGGTGAGGGGAGCCTCTAAGTCGGCCGGCTGATTGGCGCGGCAGAACGGAACCCTTTCCTCGATGGTTTTCCCGCGCTTTCGCGGGCGTGTGTGTGATAGCTACTACAATTACCGCGTTGGAGACTCTCGATCAGGTCTCCAGGCGGCCACAGAGCTCGCGAGGGTGGAGACTATGTCAGTTTGCCAAACTGCTTCGCCTCTAATGGTTTTTCGAGTAAGCTTCACCCAGCCTGGTTGCGCCGATAAATGGTGTCTTATATGCTTGAGGCGATTAGATGAGCTGAAAAAAAGACTAGCTCGGGCGGGGGGGGGGTCGCTCCCTCTCCGCCCCCCGCCCCCACGTAAGAGTGTTGTGGGATTGAAAATGAGAGCAGACCGCCTGGTAAACCGCCTCGGGCTCCCAGAGGAAAGACAGGAGAGAAGGGCAAGTGTATTTTGTCGCTCCGAGACACACACACACACACCACGTGTAGGAAATACTTGAGGCGGGAGGAGGGGAGGGCAGAGGGGGATCCCTGACGCTGACCGTTTTGCCTCCCCTTCACAGAAATTAGCCTTTTACTCGAAGATGCAGGAAGCCGCCGAGAGCGCCAGCACCAGCGGCAGCAGCAGCTCCTCCTTCTCCAACCACGCCGCCCCGGCCAGCATCAAGGAGGAGGAGTGCAGCCCGGAGAAAGAGCGCCCCCCCGAGGCCGAGTACATCAACGCCAGGTGTGTCCTGTTCACCTACTTCCAAGGGGACATCAGCGCCGTGGTGGACGAGCACTTCAGCCGAGCCCTCAGCCAGCCCAGCAGCTACTCGCCCAGTAGCGCGAGCCTCAAAGCCGTCGCAAGGAGCTCCGCCCCTTGGAGAGGTGAGCTGGGTAGTCTTCTTCGTCTCCGGCTGCCTTCGGGCTCGCTTTGCCCCTGTCACCTGAGGCTCAAGAAGATGCAACTCGCAGAGCGTGGGTCAAGCGGTGGTCAACCTTAGAGTCCTTAGAGTTCTAACATGAGAGTTATAATCTAAGGCGGGGCTCTCCAACCTTGGCAACTTTAAGCCTGGAGTACTTCAATTCCCAGAATTTCCCAGCCAGCAAAACTGGCTGGGGAATTCTGGGAGTTGAAGTCCTCTAGGCAAAGTTGCCAAGGTTGGAGACCCCTGATCTGGAAACTGTTGCCTGCCCCATGTAAGTGGTTCCTTTTAGCATTGGCCACAAACGGGTATATTTCTCAGCTTGCTGGGTTTTGAGAGATTGTAGTTATGTAGAGATTTTAAAAACTAAGAAACAAAGAGTGTTTTTGTTGTTCGTGGATAGGTAGTTGTTGTGCTATGCAAGTTTGGAATACTTTTAAGAGAAGAAGAATATTCCTATGACTGTAACATCTCCACTAGCAAATAAATGAGCCTTCTTTGGATGCATTATTTCATAGAATTCTGACCAGGACTGGCCCTAATGTTAGCCAGAATGAGACAGTCCTCTCCAAAAAATCTACGTTGCTTTGGGATGTAATCAATATTGCCCCATCATTTGTGTTGAAGAAAAGTTTTGCTATTCCTGATATTTGAGGACAAAAAGGCAGACGTCTTGCAGCAAAATGTCTTGGGCCATCTGATAACAGCTGCTGAAGAAATGAGGACTAGCAGGGTAGAATTTATATCTAGGGGATAAGTCTCTGAAATTCCCTTCCCTCAGCAGCTTTCCTACATGGTTAGAAACTTCCATGCTCATACTACCAAACTAAGGTGGGAATCTGTGATAACTAAGATTATTTTCAAATATAGATTGCTTTAAAGTACAGTATGCAAAGGACTGATCAGAACTGATGGTCTGTGGGTTGCTATAATATATTTTAGTTACTATCAAAATGACTAAAGGCAACCAAGTTTGTGAGACTTACTTCATTTTAATAGAACTATCAATCATAGTCTGACACAAAATGATATAAGAATAAAAGAATTTGAACCCAGGAATATGTTTTGAATAAGAAAACACACACACACACACACACACACACACACACACACACACACACACACACACACACGATTGTCTCTCGTATATTTCATTTCCTAAGTAATTTCTAGTGGGGGAAAGAGAGACTTATATCTCCAGTCTCTGTGACAGAACTGATGAAGAGATTTATGTAAGCAACAGAATACTTTATTCTCAAATGTACCCACTGCCTGCTTCTGTTCATGTTCAGGGTGGATGGTTGGAGGGCAGACCAGTGATATTTCTGGATAAAGATTTATGGTTTGATCTGCCCAGCAGCCTCATCCATATAAAAACTTGCTTTGGAAAAAGAGAACAGAAAGCAACCTGCTTCACTTCACTTTCTCAGAGATAAGAAAGACCCCTGTGACTTTGCTCAATCTCTCCAGCCCTTCCCCCCCCAAATTATAAGCCCTGGTTCCATCCATTAATTAGAACAGCATAATTTTTCCAAATTACCCTCTCCTAAAATTAATTTCAGGCATGTTTAGAGGTAGGAAAACTCTTTTGTCTTCTTACGTTGATTGCTGTGTTCCTGTTGGCCACAGTGAAGAAACTTATTACTGTGTCAGAATGGTGCTCTGCTTTGGTCAAATAGAATTGTTTGGAATCTTTTCCATTGAATATTGGGTTGTGGGAATAGTTAATATTAGCTGAAAAGGTTGCCTGGTTCATGGATTACATTAAGCTATGGATTAATTTTAGCTTAGTGTCAGTGTGAGCCCAGAAGCTGTGGTGGGAAATCATAGTTTTATAGTTTAGTACAGGGTGTTACTTAGCAATTCTGTTAAACAAATCATGGTCAGGCACATATGAATTAATATATTTAGAGTCATGTTTTAATAAAGCTGTGAAGTTATATAGAGAGGAAAGATTGGTTAAGTAGTAATTATATCTTTTTTTTTCAAACAGTAAACTATGGTAGGTACATTCATTTATAAATCAGTTTATTTGGCCACCCATCTTGCAAATGCAATTCTGGGCAGCTAATAATATGTTATAACAATAAAAACCTATATTTGCAAGTATAAAAATGAACTCTGCTTGCTAAGGATGGATCCAATAAAACAACAGAGGTTGGTTTTTTTTTCAGTGTACCAAAAATACTGCTATTCTCATAAATCAAGTGCATGAAGTACATATCAGCTTTTTACTTATAAAAAGGAAAACAAACAGTATTAAATATAATGTTCCTGTATAGAAAGACGTTTATAAAATTATAATGCCTTAACCAAGATTTGTTGAATAAGCCACAACATTCATGAAACATAACAGGCATTCATTATTATCTTTACAAAAATATTGCTTACACCAGGGGTATCCAAACTTTTTGCAAGGAGGGCCAGATTTGGTGAGGTGAAAATATGTGGGGCCGACCATTCAGCCTGACATTCTTTGAACCATTAACATTAATGTGCAGTGAAGGAAAAAACGCCAGCTGGCAGGGATGAGTGACAGACTGAGCCGGCAGGGAGAAGAGGCTGTGGGCCACTCAAAATTTGAAAACTGGCCAGGAGGGAGGATCCAACATCACGACGATACAGACATG